GCCTGGGGGCAGCCCTGAGTGGGAGGGATAGACAAGGTAGGAGGGGGTACAGAGGGTGGCCAAGCAGGGGGTGCCTCATCCATTCTGCAAATGGTGGGAGCCCGTGGGGCCGGGGCGCTCACACTGCGTGACTGGAAGGCTGTGGGGGTGCTGGCTGCATAGACCAGCCTGGGAGGGCAGGGCAGGGCTGGTACGAGTGGGATGCCAGAGTCCAGCTCTGGAGGATCTGGGCAGGTTGGAGCCTGAGGAGCTTGGGGAGGTGGCAGTAAAGACCACAGCCAGGTCCTGGTGTGCAGGGCTCATCTCCCTGCGGGCAGGTGGAGGAGCAACCGGCCCTGCGTGTGGAGGGTCCTGGGACCTCCCCCATACACTGGGCACAGGTGCACGCCCAGTGCAATGGGGCAAGGTGCCATTTGAGCTGGCGCCTGGACAAGGTGCTACTCAGCCAGGTGGAAGTCAGCTCCCTGCCAGCTACCCCCCTGCAGCAGCCCCTTGCTCGGTCCTTGTCCTGCCTCTGGACAGCCCTCAGCCACCCCCCTGCAGCAGCCCCGAGCCTGGTCCTTATCCCATCTCTGAGAGCCCTAGTTCTCATCCCGCCCCTGGGTAGCCCCGAGCCCCGGTCCCCGCCCCATCCCCCGGCAGATGTTTCTGGGTGGAGGCGCAGAAGCAGGGGCTCTGTGGAGGGCCCAGCTGGGCGTGGGAAGAACAGAGAGCCCAGTGTGGATGGGGAACGGGAGGAGGGCGGCCCAGGCCTGGAGGCCCAGTAATCGGCCACAGGCTTGGGTTTCTGGAGGGTCCCACTGGCTGCCCAGACAGGAGCATTAGTAAGGGGGGCAGGGCCAGGGGCTGGCAGGTGGCAGGTGGCAGCCAGCCTCTTGGAAGCTGCACCCGCTCCCTGGTTGCTAAGTAGCTTAGTGTGTCCCCTGGGTGGGGGTGGTGCCAGCAGGGCAGAGGGGAGCCTAACCAGGCTCCTGTAACAGGTCACGCGGGGACATGGCTTCCTGGTCAGCTGGCCTGGGGTCCTGCCTCGAGGGGGCCGTTGGGGGCATGGACCTCCCTGGGAGCTCATGAGGACAGCAGTCTGGGGCAGCCAGCTCCCTGCACAGGGCGTGGCCCGCGGAAAGTGCTGGGGCTGGGTGGTGGCAGAAGGCCACGCCTGAGGCCAACCCGCGCCCAGTTCACGTTCCGAGCCCTGGTGGAACGCCGGGCATGCACGTGCCCATGGTCCAGGGCTGCCCTAAGCTGGGGTCAGGCGTGAGGACCGTCTGGGAGTGCTGTCTCCATGTCTCTTTCTCTCCCTTGCTCTTGAAAGAAAGTATGGGGGGGTCGGCAGGTGGCAGGTGGTTGGGGCACTGGATTCCCATGTGCCCGAACACAGTTTGACTCCTGGGCTTGCTGGCTTGCTTTCTCACTTTCATCATATTAGAGAAATAAATAAAGTTAAAGTAAAAAGAAACTTTGGGGCCAGCAGGTGGCGTGGTGGTTAAGGTGCTGGACTCCCGTATGGCCGACCACAGTTTGAGTCCCAACGTGATGACTTGCTTTCTCTCTCTCCCTCTCCCTCTCTCTCTCCGGTGAGTGCACATGCCTTATGGGAAGTTAAAAAGTAGTAAGTAAAATTGAATCAGTAAGTTTTTATAGTTATTTTTATTTAAACTTACTTATCTATACATACATACCTACCAGAGAGGGACAGAGAGAGAGAGAGAAAGGGAAAGTGAGAAAGCAAGCCGCCAGGTCTGGGACTTGAACCTCGGAACCTCGGAACTCCATGTGGGAGTCCAGCGCCCCTAAACATGCCACCTGCCGGCCCGAAGCTGAATAAATAAACCTTAGAAAGAAGAAGGAACGCGGGTAGCCCAGGAATCGCAGCCCAGGCGCCGCCTAACGGGTGGGGCAGGTTGAGACCCTCGTGGCCCTCTCTCTTTCTTTTTTTGAGAGAGATTTTTGCTCCAGGATGTGTGCGCTCGCCTGAGATAGACAGGAAGTGGGAAGTCACCCGCAGGGGCATGGCCATGCTGCCCCCCTCCTCCTCCAGTCGCTCCCGGGATCTTGGCCACGCGTGCACAGACAGGAAGTGGGAAATCGCCCGCAGGGGCATGGCCATGCTGCCCCCCTCCTCCTCCAGTCGCTCCCGGGATCTTGGCCATGTGCACACAGACAGGAAGTGGGAAGTCACCCCCAGGGGCATGGCCATGCTGCCCCCCTCCTCCTCCAGTCGCTCCCGGGATCTTGGCCATGCGCGCACAGACAGGAAGTGGGAAGTCACCTGCAGGGGCATGGCCATGCTGCCCCCCTTCTCCTCCAGTCACTCCTGGGATCTTGGGCATGCGCGCACACACACACCCAGCGTGCGTTTCCAGCTGCCAGGTCTGAGAGCCGAACCACGGCCGACTACGTGGGAGTCGGAGACGTGTCCATCACGCCATCTGCTGGTCCCTTGTGAGGCTCCTTGAGTCTCTTGAGCTCCGGGCTGTGAGGGGCTTCGTCCATGGACGCTGAGGCCGGCTGGGGGCAGGACTTACCTGAAGGGACAGAGCTCAGGCGGAACCGACCCTCCTGCCCCCGGTGGCTCTTCCCCCATCAGAGCTGCGTGGTGGCCGGGGGTGGCCCTGCAAGAGGCCGCCGGTGGGGCAGGAAGGGTGGTGGCCGTCTGTGTGCCTGCACAGCAGGCTGGCCGGCTGGCTCGGGAGGGTGCTCACTGGCCCGCGGCCTGTCCCC